TCTGCATATGGGGCAAAGCCTTGGCCATGGTCTGCTCTTCCAGCTTCATGCCTGTGCTCTGTGATGATGTGAGAGGCTGTTGTGAATAGAGCTGGGGAACAGGAGCAGGCACTTCCCACCCTGGATCTCAGGAAATAGCTCAGTAATAAGTCATTGCCCAGAAAGGCTCCTGCATTTTTAGGAGTGAGACTTGGTTTCACCTCAACTGCCTCCACGGCCTTACAAGTGTCTGGGGTGCAGTGCTGTTTGCTTCCCAGGGCTGCCTAGAAGTTTGCTGACTAAGCCAAGCACACCGTCTAGACTTCCTCAACTGTCCTGGGAAAAAAGCAGCATCCTCACAAACCAACTCATCTGCCCCAACACGCTCACCCAGACAGAAGGGTGAATCGTCCCTCAGAGCCTCCCACCATCTCCCTGGATGACAGCAGCTGGCTCCCAGCCTGGGTGAGGTGCCCAGCCAGGATGAACTGTGGTTCTGAGCTACACTCTTGCCCACATCTCAGCTACATGAGCCCACCTGAACCACACATCCTGTCACAAACTTGTGGGCTGCTTCCTGTAACAGACTGTAGAGAGCAAAAAGTGAAGAAAAGGAAAAGCAGACATGATGCCCATAGGACCAGTGATACCTGGATTTATGTGGCTGTTTACACCTCGTCTGTGCTTAGCTTCAGCCAGGTGTAAGTTAGTGATTGAAAGTAAGAATGTGTTGGATTGCTCTGATGAACTGGGATGGATGGGAATGTTTCTCACCAACTCCAGAGTTGTGTGTAACCATATAAGCATCTGAGATAAGTGAGATGGCTCTTCCCTCCTGGAGAGGATGTGCTGGTTCTATGATTCTATGGGCTGTTGAAGCTCTCTTAAAAAGTCCATGTTAGGAGATTAAATGCAGCCATGATTTCAAATGTTTCACCATCTGATCAGGCTGTTCTCTCCTTAAGTTCTGTGCACAGGAATTATATTTGCCACAGTTCCTTCCCCCCAAAATCTTCAAGTCTTGTTCATCACGGAATCCCTGAACTCATGTTTGCAACCAGTTGCATTGCCCATGGAAACAGAGCCATGTGGCCCTGCACAGGGTTGTGTCCCACCTACAACAGCTCACCAAGAGGACCACAGAGTGAGATAGCTCTGGTGTCTGAGCTGAACGGGGGTTCTTCATCTCCTCTGCACCACCTTTGACTCCATTCTCATCTGCCTGGATTGGCCTAAGTTGGACAGCATGGCATGAATGCAGAAATGCCTGTTGTGGAAAGGCACAGCAAAGATAACAAATTATTTCCACCTAACAGTTCACATCTGAGTATCCTGAAAGTGAGAAAATCAAAGCGGATGATTAAAAAATTGTCAAAATGACACAAACTGCTGTAAAATCTCATAGAGCCTCTTGCCAGAGCAGCAGTCCTGATGTTTACCCTCTTTACAGGATGCTATGCACTGAGCCTCACCTCCCAGATGGGATCCTGAGCACGAGCTCTTTGGCAGCTTCCTGAGCTCCTTCCTGTGCTTGATTGTCCCTAGAAATGGAGTTACTCTAGAGCCACGTATTTCTGAGATATAAATAGGGAATCTCACGGATAACCTTTTCCTTTCTCCCAGGAGGTGAAATATGGTGAGGTGGCTTTGATTTAGAGCCTGGCCAGCCTCCTCCTGTTGCTACTCCTTAAATAATCTGATTCCTTCCTCTCTTAGCAGCACATTTCCCTACTTTTTCACATCCAACAAAGCCTTCCTCGCAGCACACGTTCTGAAATTCCTCCCAGCCAGAAGCCTTCAGGACAGGAATGTGTGTTGGAGTCTTGGGTCCAGCCTCACTGCTTTGGGCTGCCAAATCCCAGCACCAGGACAGCAACTGAGTGCTGTATTAGTGAGAGGTTTGGCTGCTAGGATGGCTCTGGGGGGGGACAGCAGCAGCCCCTCGAGGGCTCACCCCATCCTGTGCAGCTGCGTGGAGCAGGAGCATCCTCAAGGAGCTTCTCTGCTCACTGTCTCAGCTTGCCAAGGGCCTTGATGAATGACTGCCATATCCTGATCAAAAAGTCTCACCAACAGTTTTAGTGTGTCTGTGTCCCCCTAGTTAAGATAAATTAGACAGGCTAATGAGACTGATTAGTCTTTAGCTGTGACCCTTGGCCTTTAGGATGTACTTTGAGCTAATAGAGAGAATGGGGATTATAGGCTGTGATAATGTGCTTGTGTTGGCCTTTTAAAGGAAAACACATTTATTGCTACTTAGAGGAAATTGATCTAATTGTGCTGGAAGCATTTCTACGGACCGAACATGGAATTTTTATTAAGTAGGTGACCCAGGTTCAGCTGGAATTGCCAGATTCGAAGCAGGCAGGAGACATTTTCAGGAGATCCCACCTGGCAGTCCGTCTGGCTGCCTCTCCAACCGATAACGACTTGCACTCCTCCTGACTTTGATCTGCTGCTCTGTGTCAGGCGTCAGAGCTCCAGGAACTTGGACTGCAATCCCCAGGTCTCGTGGCTCCGCTCCAAGCCAACAAATCATCAAAAGCTGCCAGTTGTGTTTACACGTTGACTAAGGGTTCAACTATTTGATTCCTTTCTCCATCAGCAAAACAAAATGGTTCCTGTAGTTACAGGGATTCCCAGAGGGAAACGAGGAAACCATTGGGTGCATTTGAGAACAGCCTGGACTACAAGGTGCTCTGCAGCCTGTCTTGCCCTAATGAAAGGGTTTGATTCATAGCCCAAAGCCACACGTTTTCTGCTTCACACACAAAAGCAGAGGTTGCGTTCCTGCAAGCTGTCTCCAATAACATTTATCAGATATCCTCCCCTCCAATATATTTAGATTTAGTTGTTTTCCAGAGAGCTTTGGCACATGTTGGGAAGGCAGCTCTGGCTGGGGAAAGCAATGCTGTAATGGGGGAATCTCTGCTCACAAGAACTGCACCTGGAATATTGATAAAAGTTCTCAGAAAGGCTTCAGGCTTGAGAAAAGCCTCCAGCAGGAGATCCCAGTCAGCAAAACCTAGAAGAAATAAAGTCTTCCAAAAGCAAAACTTTTTCCTTATTGGAGCATCCATTCCCTGTGGGCACACCGGAATGCAGATCCACACCTCTCACCAGAAGGGCACAAACTACACAAGTTTTGGTGCAGAAAGCATCAGCAGCCACAGCAAACTGCTATGAAACCACAGCACTCGGTCTGCAAGCTGCAACATGAGCTAAGAGCAGCTGGTAAGGACTCATTTTGTTTTGCTGAGCCTTCAGCTAGTTGTAAATCTCACTTGAAGTGCTGGCAGTGGTGGAATCTTCTAGGGCTGAAAGGCCATACCAAGTTTCTCAGTATGTTTCTCAGAAAAGTATTTTCTTCACATCTCCTTTATCAGCCTCACTGTTGCACTGTGAGCAAAAGATGGAGGACCTACCAACATTCGGTTCATCCTTATATTCTTCATAGAATCACAGAATTATTAAGGCTGGAAAAGACCTCTAAGATCACCAAGTCCAATCCCAATCTGTTCACACCATACCTGCTAACAATACCCCTCAGTGCCACATCCCCGCAGGTCTCGAACACCTCCAGAGATAAGTGACCTCACCACCCCCCTAGGCAGAAGACACTACAACTGTTTTCATAGTTGGTCGATTTCGGAAGCCTCCACAGTATATCAAACACCACAGAAACACTGCAGAGATTAACTAGAGAATTTGCACTTGAAAATGCTGCCTTCCAAGGGATCTACAAACACCAGAGAATCTCTATTCTCATTTCTACTCTTCACTACTGTGCAGGACCAGCAGAATTCACTGGTTTATGGACAGGAAAAAGAAAATATCAGTAAGTCATGGCTCAAGGTGGGTTGCAAAGAGAGCTCCAAGCCTGCTTTCAGAGGCCTCCCTTTTAACAGAGCATAATTTCTGAAGATTGCCATTTGGCCAGGTCAACAGCACTGATGTGCTTAATCTATGGTGAAAATTGGCACCCTTACTGTATATTACTGCAATGATCAAGAGCTCCATCCTGGATCAAGGCTTCACAGTATGTGCTGTGTCAGCAGAGAGGGGAAGAGAAGTCCTTCTCATCACCAGTGATTGAGAAGATATCTCTGAGGGAGGTGAGCATGCAGCCCCTCCTGCAGGCAGATGGTACATTGTAATTTGAGGGGCAAATCCCACAGAGATCCCCTTGGATCTGTTTTCTTGGTTGAACCAGATCTCAGTCTTTGCTGGCAATCAGTTTCCAGAGCTTTCCAGATACTGTCCCTATAGAAATGGCAGCTAAAACTGTAGTGAAAGAGTAACAAGAAAAAAAAAGCAAACTGAAACCCAACCAGCAAAAGCCACACCACAATTAGAAACAAAGGCAAACAAAAATAAACAGACAATACATGAATTAGAGACCTTCAGGGCAAATTAATGGACCTGTGCTGAGAGAGCTGTGCTGTTCTCAGTAAATGCAGAGGCTGTCCTTCTGGTTTCTGCAGCCTGGTTTAGTGCATGATTTTGTTCTGGAGATTGAGAGGACTTCTCAGAATGCTGATGGCTGTGTGCTGCCTGATCTCAACAGGAGCAATGGCATCCACTTCTGGAGGAGGAGGAGAGCTTGCCTGCAGAGAAGGCAAGGCCAGAGCCATCTGGATGAGCTAGGCTCTGCAGCAGCTTGTTGATGAGTATGTTATCATCACAAGAGAGCCTGTGGCTTTGTGGCACCATTGCCTGAAACCCAAATGTTGCTACCAGCCATGGGAATTACTGAAAGGTCTTAGCAGAAAGGAGAACTTGTCAATCTTGGATGGTGGGGCTGCCAACTGGCATGCAGTCCTGCTCTCCTCGCATCCCACATCCACCCCACAGAAACAAGCTGAGTAACTGTCTGCCAGCAGCTTCATCTGTCACTGAGAGATGCTCTCTGTCCATCTGACTCAAGAGGAAACCAAAGAGAATTTGGCATGCCCATCCCTCTGGGGAGCTTCCTCCTATCTCTGTGATAAGCTAACAATTTCACCAAAGCACCCGTTCTATAGAACACAGTGATCTAACACTCTTTTATTTACGTAAGAATCACACAACAAAGGGTAAACCCCCAAGCTTGTACTTGCAGCTTGCAACCCAAGTGAACCCATGTGAAAAACAATGTTTTATTATATGCAACTTCTTCCCCTGTGACATCACCTAGTCAGGATGATCCTTGGCACTCTCTGCACTCAGGCATCTTGCAATAAATAGTCTTATCACTCTTTTACAGCCATGGAAATTGAGGTTTGACTCAAACAAGCTCAAAGGGGATCCATGGGGCCAAGAGCACAGGAGAACTTCCCTGTCTCTGCACTGGTCCCACTTTGCTGATCAAAGGTTTGAGCCACAGCCCTGAAGTCAGTGGAAAGACTCCTAAGCACCCATAGATCACCATATTATGCTCTATTGCACATGATAAGTCCTGAACTTTGCTTTACTTTTCCATGAAATGTTTTCAGACACAGAGCAATTAGAGGAGCAGGAACAGATCTTCAGGCAGGGTAACACCAGCTGTGGCTCCAGTCCAAAAACTATATGGTGCTGATTTCAATGAGAATTGATCACTTCCCCTTTCTTCATTGGCAGCACTGATATGGAGGTACTGGCAGGTCAGGCATCACCCAAGGCTGAGAGAGCTGAAATTGTCCAATATCCTATAATTCTCAGAGGGATCTGGGTGTTCAGCTGCAGTTCGTGTGTATACATGTGCATGGAAATAAGCAGCATCACCTTTAGCTTCAGGAGAGCAGAATATCAACATGAGATATTGCAAGCATATGAAGTCTTAGCCTAATTTGGAGCCCATCTCCTAGAATCCTTTAAGCTGGATTTCCTGGGGTATAATGATTTTTTCAGAAAAGAGTTCTTCAAAATAATTTGGGAAGTTCTGTCACTGAAAGAGGCAATTATTGGCAGAGAACAGTGAAAGGATGCAATGCTGCAAAACTTGGTATCTCCTCAAAAGATAATCTGGGTGATAGGATCCTAAAATAGAATTTGAGGATGATTGGGATCCCCAGAACTGGAATATTAAGATTATCAGAGAGGGTTTAACTGAAATGTTTGCATTCAACACCCTGTGCTGAGCAGAAACATCCCTGGATATAATCCTCATAGAATATTGGCTCGATTACACCCTAGTGATTAAAATTACAGATCCTTAGGCACTTGGAAGACCAGTTTTGCCAAGGTACTTTATAAACACACAGCTGAACACTTGCTGGCTGTTTCTCTAGGACACATATCCTGAAGAATTGAACTTCTGCACTGTTGTCTCAGAAAAAGCACAAATCTTCACATGGCATAAGTCAACACTGGCCTTTGCACCGAATTTTGGCCAAGCAGCCACTCTGTGAGCACAGGGCTCCTGTAGGGGCCATTTCCAGGTTGCAGAGCCAAGCCACACTTCATCCACGCTCTCCATGAGGAAGATGCTTTGAGTAATTTTGGAAACCTGAGGCCTCAACAAATTCCCGCTTGTGATTGCTTGTATCTTTACTGGCTGTCTTTTCCACTTTGCCCTCTCAGATTACGAGGGCTATGACAAGGAAATATGGAACAGCCACCCAATCAAATTACAGAACATTAAAAAGGTCAAGCGCCTACAGGTTGCTCTCACACCATGAGTGGGAATCAGATTTCCTGGTGTCTCAGTATAAGTGACTGACAGTGTTAACCAGATAAGCAAATGGGAGCTTCTAAGTCTATCTAAAAGCAGAAGTAATTTGCCAGTGGATCTCTTTTCAAGAGAAAGTGTGTGAGGATTAGATTTCCTTGAAATTTCTGCCTTGTGGGTGAAAGCAACCTGACTGTTCTACTGTGCTTTCCTGTGCCCATTGTGGTCAGGGTATCATTGTTATGGTAGCTTCTATAGAACTGGTGATGCCACAGGGAGATGAGAGAGGAGCAATAAATAAAGGGAGTAATTGTCACTGGGAAATACTGCTTGTAAATACTGTCCTCTGGATGAGTATGGAGGAGGTGGGACAACTGAAGCTCTGGCAGATGCTGCTCTGATGGTCCCTGTCAGCCAATAGCCACAACTCCAGCAGCCAGGAGATATTGCAGCCTTACTATTATCCACAAAGACTCTCCTTTCCTAGGTGAAAAGGTGGTGAGAAGGAGTTCCACATACTGCAGCAATCAAAGCAACTTAGTGAAAGCCTCAGAGAGCAATATGCCTGTAACACAACAGAAAGCACAGCAACAACAGCACAGTAGCAAGGTCCTAGGATGCAACAGCCATAGGCACAGAAATAAAGAAAAGAAGCTTCTTACCTTCAGAGGGTCCCAGGTACACAGAAATCTCCAACAAGGCACCCTCATCTCTACTGCCAACCCTTAAATGAGGTCTGGGAGGGGGTGGATCTTGGCTCCAGCCCTTCTGGTCACTCAAGTACATTGCATACACCTGAGCTCCCCTGGATTGGCCCTGCCTTCCACCAGGTGCTCTGCTTCAGACCATGACTTAGCATTTCTGCTACAGTGTCCTTACTGAATGGACCTTCTCTTCAAGCACCATCCAACAAAACATTTTGACAGAGATTGTCAAAGACTCAGTTGAAAGTCCAGACATTCCATTGACATTGGCCATGGGTAGCAAGTGTCAAATCATGAGTGACATCCAGCTCTGCAGTTCTTGGTGCCCTGTTTCTTACTGGCCATGGCCAGGGCTGTGAGCTCTTTCTCAGAGGTTTTGCTTCCACTTTACCCCTGGATCAGTGTTCAAAGCAGTGGAGAACAGACTACAGAAAAGCTCTGTCTCTGTAGTCTCCATTTTCATCCACTCTTTCTGGATGTGATGCTTGAGATTTGAAGGGCTGTTACGTTTCATACGAGCAACTTTCATTTGAGGGGATAGCAGCCCTAGATGTACCAAGTAAATGAAGCCCTGTCACCTTGGCAAGTCAACATTTCCATCTCCCCCTTCATTATTTATTTATTTATGGTTCCTGAAAGCTATTTCCCAAATTCTCCTCCCTCGCCTTCCTCCCCCTGCTTTGTTTTAATGAATTGCGGATTGAATTCCGGAGCACACGCGTGAGGCAGAGATGATGAAGCACCCAGCCTGATGGCAGTCCTGTAAATGCTACGGCGGCTTCCAAAGAGTTAATTCATTACAGTCCATTGTCCAGTCGACTTTGTAGCTAGCAGCAGATTGGAGCCGACTTGAAATGCTGAAGTGGGAATGAAAAATGAGCAAAGCCTTGGTGTGCATTAAATATTTAATATTCTCTCAGTGGGAGGTGTCAGGAAAAGGACCATATAATAAATACTACGAGAGACAATTCCATCACTGAACTCGTCTGTTAATGACCTCATTTGCTTTGACAGAAACATTACAGATGCAGCCTCTTCGCTTCTGTGGCCCTATTAAGCAGGCCACATTCCAGTTGGAGAGCAAATTCCTGCTTCTGCAGCATGGAGGAGTGGGCTGGGGCAATGATTGCCTCCTTCTATCTCTTGGTCTCCTCCCGCTCTCTGGATCTGGGGCATTCAGAAGGAATTCTGTGTGGCATGAAAGGTATTTGTGGTAGCTGCATGACTCTGGCAAGAAGATTGGAACTTTATCATATTAACTAGAATACATGAACTCTAGAAAAAGCTCCTTCTGCAGAGGATCTGAGCACCTCCCCCCATCTTCTCTAAGCTGGGCAATGTGGTGCAGTCCATCTCCTGTTTGATTCCTCAAAGACTTCTCATGGCAAGGACAGTGGGGTCATCATGGGGGTCTCCTTGGCCAAGTTCTGATGCACGCTTCCCATTTGAGTCCCTCCACGTTCCTGGAGCACCTGCTGTCAGATCATGGGGTTTTCTAGCCCATACTGTTGCTTGCAGTTCTCTTGGTCACAAAGAGGCTGATATTCTATCTGAATATCACAGTTACAGGATTTTGGCTTCAATCTAAGCGGAGAAAGTTCTCCTGAGGGATAGAGCAAAGCTGGACAAGCTCCAGCTGACAGACAAGCTCTAATCCTTGCCCATCTCCAGCCCCTTCTCCAAGGCACCGAAAGTCCCCAGTGAAAACATCTTGCTTTCTCTTGTACACTATTTATTTCTGAAGGGTCCCCAAAGGTATTTAATCTCTCCATTTCACACCTGAATGTATTAACATCCAGTTTATGCACAACTGATCTTTTGCCAGTTTTCCCTTATGATTTAACTAATTCCCTTTTTACCTGGGCAGATAGACCCTGTAGAGTTTTTTGCCTCTCAGGCATTTGTTGGCCTGGTTAAGAGAACCAATGTCCTCACATCTCTCTACACAAGTTCCTGAGGGCCCTCAGCATCTCTGCTTTAAGGACTTGCACAGATTGCAAGTCATTGGCAAATTATCTTCCTGCATTTGCCTGGTCTTTTATGAGCTCCTATTTTATACCATGAGTGGGTTCCTAGGTAGCCTGATCTGGTGGGGAGCAACCATCCCACAGCAGTGAGTGGAGGCGGGGTGGGCTATAAGGTCCCTTCCAACCCAACCATTCTGTGATTTTATATTAAAAGTTGAAAGGGATTGTGACGTTATGACAGGAGCCTTAGAGACCCTTTGTAGTAGCACAGCCTGAGCATCTAAGCTGCTATCAGGGGACTCCAGAGTACAAGCTCAGCTGCCAGCCCCATTGCTTAGCATCTGATTTTTGGAATGGATTGAAGCCTGGGGCAGCAGGGTGCTGAAAGCAAACACAGAACCACAGAACTGTATGGGGTGGAAAGGACCTCTGGAGTTCATCTTGTCCTTCCCCGTGTTAAGCAAGAAGAGAGAAGGGGGAAAAGGCTGGCAGTGATGGGAAGGGAATGTGTCCCACGCTGTGTGGGCTGTGCCGAATACTGTGTTCAGTGCATTACAACAAGGCGGTTGTTTGTAGTGCTGGCTCCGTGCAGCGGGGAGATAAGGTTCTGCCTTTGTATCAGAAGCAGCTGCAAAGGGGCGGAAAGGTCTTAGAACAAGAAATTGGTTTGTTTGAATTCTCTTCTCCCTCTTTGCCTCCTTCAAGGTACAGCACACCCCCAGTGCTTGTACCCCACAGTGGTACCCTGGTACATGCATGTGGCCCATAGCTATGGCAGGAAGACAATGACAGGGTAGAAAATGCTTGGTGAGAGGGCACAAAGCATCAATCCTGTATCCAGCACAGGGAGATGGTGCAGGTACCCAACGCATTCTGTCAGGCTGGGCCATGATTCACAGGCAGGAGGGATTCAAATGGCCCTGGGCAGGCAGCCCTGGGCACAGCACAGCTGCTGAGTGCTGGGCTCGACAGCCTTAATGATGTTCTTTTAATGGAGCTTTTTATAAGTGCAGGATATAATATACAGTGCATGTCCTGCCTGCCTAGAATAGCTTTAAATAATGATTCAGGTGTATGCTCCGGCGTACAGAACCATTTCACCATCATGCATAGACACTCAAATGCTTCTGAAATACACTTTAAAGTTTAGATTTGTGCTTAAAGAATTAACATCTGCTTGGTAAAGAAGTACCTGTCTTCGTTTCTCAGGAGCCGGGCAATTCCCATGCAAGCAGTTTTATGGGGCTTGGTGCTGGCCATACAAATTGTTTGTAAATTTGGGACAGGCTGTGAGCATTTCTCAGTGCTGTTGCTGCCTGGAGGAATGCAGCTCAGCATGCAGGTGGAAGGAGGAGGAAGCCAAGCAGCAGGGAAGGAGAAGGAGCAGCCCTTGTGGCCCAGCAGGCACCCAGCACTGCACTCCAGAGCTGGAGATGTCGCGAAGGCTCCATCCCTGCTGGCAATGTCCCGTCTCATGGGGCTGATTTAGGGAGGTCACCTGTCACTTGGGTAAAGGTCACCCAAGGTCCATGCTGTGGACAGTCCCCACGTTCCTGGGATGTCACATAATCATTTTATTTTACATCGCTGCGGTCCTGCCAGAGGAGGGAGGAGGAGAGGGAAGACTGCGAGGTCAGCAGCATCTTTATGGATGGTGGAGTGAATGTGAGGTGAAAGGCATCGTTGCTTTTGCCTCCCCAATAAACCCCTTTTCTCTGCCTGAACGGAAGCGGCGAGAAGATGTTCAGCTAATTTATATTAATTCAACTCCATTAATGATGAGATATCATCTCTTCCCTCAGCAGGAGAACCATCAAAAGGATTTAACACCGAGCTGCTCCTTTGACAACCCTGCATTACAGCCTGCAGCCATGCCACAGCCGGGCTCAGCCCTTCCCTGGTTTGATAGGAGAGGTGAGCTCTCACTATTAGTCTTATTTGGGGGTGACTCCTTGCACAAACCTCAGCATCGCCCAGGAATCTCCACGGGAAAGGAGGGACACCCTGTGCCCCACAGAGTGGTGATGTGCAGTGGACCATTAAGTGACAGGAAGCCACACGTTGTCTGAGTCACTGTCTACTCAATGAAGCAGCTGTGGGGGCAAAAATGGCATTTTGGAGGGGATGTGGGCAAGGTTGGTGCCTGGGATGGTCTTCAGTCCCACTGCCTGCAGCAACAGCAGCAATGTTTGGACCACCAGCAACGTGCCTCCAGCAGCCAGCAGCCAGCAGCACAGGCTCCTTGCTTGAGCCATCATCGTGCAGGATGGGCAGGCTGGGATCACACCCCCACGTGCCAGGTGGGATTAAACCCCCCAGTGGGTCGGGGTCACTGCTGTCACACACAGGCAACATTTTGGGCTCGCATGGCCCCCACCCGTACTGTGGCAGTGGGCACCAGGACCTGGTGCTAGGCTTGCAATTTAATTTCTCTCCTTGCTTCTGGCTGATAGCGTTAGACTCCCGGCCTCTGAAACACACATACAAATCCTGGTGGTATTTTTTTTTTTTTCTTCTCCTTTTCTTATATATATATATTTTTAAATATTTTTTTATATTAACATATTTCCTTTTGAAACGGTGTGAGGCTTTTCTCAAAACTAATGGATTTTTCCTCCCCTTGTCTGGGCCAAATGTATTCAAATCTTAACTCAGTTAAGTCAGAAGATTCCTATCGTCTCAGCAGGGAATCCCACCCTTTATTCCGCAAATCAGCATCCTTTTTATTTGACTTTCTGATCTCCAAAGGAAAAGGGATGCTTTTTTATTTTTTTCAGATTTTTTTTTTAGTTTAACTCTGACGTTGATGTTGCAATGCTCTTTGATAGCCAAGAACACAAGGACTGACTTCAGGAGCAGCTGAAACTTCATCAGGAACCGAAGCATAAAAAAAAGAAGGGATGGGGAGTGGGGAATGACAGAAAGTGATACTGTTGAAACAGCCCTTTGAAATTTCCCAAATGATGTTTGATCTGTGGGTCCCTTAAAGCTGCTGCGATACGTTCAGTATCAAACTGATATGTTTTATGGGTAGGGAGGGAGAAGGGTTTTAATTTTTATTTTTATTTT